TAATTACGTCAATTCTTAGTTATTCTTATTAAGGCAATTTATAGTGAATTTCATTTAGGTTGAAAGAAACCATCTGTGTGCCGAAGGGGAGAAAAGAGGAATACAGAAAACGAGCCAAGGAAAAGGCTAAACGGAGAAAACAAATTTCAGCTAAGATAAAAAATAACTTCACATAAGAAGTACACCGTCAGACCCGGATAGAGTAGACTTTAAGGTACCCCTTGTATTATGGCAAAGTTGTTGTTTCATTTATGGTAGCCTGAGTAGTTGAATGTTATGGAAACCCTATAGTGATGTAATCGGGTGAATGATTCTGGGAATTTTGAATCATGGGATGTTTTGTAAGCGTTTTTGTGGTGTGTGTTAGTTTTATTCTTTAGACGGTAGAATGGCCGAATGTAGTTAAGTTTCTGTACGATTTGGAGTGACAGGGGTAGCCATTATAAGTGTCCTGTATGTAGGAAGGATATGCATCTAGTCGAACGTAAAAACCGTTTAGATAGAAACATTCAGATGGTCACTATGTGAAGCGTTCGATCAGAAAGAGTACCTGATTTGAAAAAAGTCATTTGAGTATGATTGATATTTTGATTTTTACGTGGCTCTGGGTGTACGAAGTGAACTCGAAAATCATGGTAAGTGAATATTTGCTTTTGGTGGTGCTTAAATGTATAACATGTTTTTATGTTATTTTATTGTTTGGTTTAAAATGTATTTTATTGAGATTATTTATTTTTTGTTTGCCTCTATTGTAGAATTTGGTGCTCCTTTGACTTTGTAAGTGAAAATATATCGATGTGTACGTGGACAAAGTAAAGGGAGTGCGCAATGCAAGTTTGTTCAATTCTGGGATTTTTTTTTAAAGTGAAAATAGGTCGACGTGTACATGGATAAAGTTAAAAGATTGCGCAATGCCATTTTTGTGCAGTTCGGGGATTTTTTTTAAGTGAAAATAGGTCGACGTGTACATGGATAAAGTCAAAGGAGTGCGCAATGCCATTTTTGTGCAATTTGGGGATTATTTTTTAAAGGGTCGATGTGTACATGGATACCGAGTATGTGCAATTGTTTGTCTTGTTATTTTGGCTTTGTGTAGCGGCGATTTTTGACTCAAAAACTGTCAAAAATTGCCGCTTCGCAAGCCAAAATAACGATTCAAAGAATTGCACAAAATCGGTATCCATGTACTGCCGAAATTGCCAAGGGGTACTCTAAACTATACTTTTATCTCAGACCTGCCGCAATTCCGATTATGCTGAGATTCTAGAGGGTATTAATATTTCTTGCAATTTGCATGACCAAACATGACTGCATATATCATCTCCAAACAATCTACAAGTCAGCATTTGAAAGAATAACCTTCTTCATCGACATCAAACAAATAGCTGGAGGACATGAAACCATGATATAAAGATCTCTTCATTTAGATGGGGGCGGGCAGCAGAAAGATGAAATACTAAAAATTTTTGATTTGTTAGACCCATGCAGATGGCTGGTCATAGGAAAAAAAAAATAAACGATAACAGTCAAAAGTCGTTAATTCGGAAACCCATAATCCGGCTGCGCATGCGTCTCGTTGACGCATAAACAAAATACATAAAACATATTATGAAACAATGTACAAAATACATAAAAGAAAATAAAACTTAAAAATTTAATTAAAATTGTAAAAAACTTAAAAGGAAGCAGCCAGACGAGATGGTCGGCAAAATATATGACTGTGAAAGTCCTTCTAATGAATTTATCGGAAATATAAAATATTTAAAAGAAATTAAAGCTATTTCTCTTGATGCGGAATCAAAGCACGAGGTAGGACATCTAATAGTATCTGCTGCTTAAAAATGAATTTGAAACCGAAGATATCTCAATACTGTGTAAAAAATTTCGGAAGAATAATACAATCGAAAATTTAATTCAATAATCAATCGTAAATATAGATACTCAAAAGGAATTACTCTTCCGCATTCAGTGTAGTTAACAAAAGAACTGACCAAAACTGAGGATTTATAAAAAATGAGAGAAAAATCCTACGGAATATTGGATACAAGAGTCTAAAACAGTAGCCGAAAAAATTGCAGTTGAGTCTATTCTGACAAAGAAAAAATTCCAAAGCACAAAAAGCAATCTGATGAACTGTTGGAGAATCACAAACACTCAACCTGTTCAGATCGAAGTTTCAGCAAATTAAAGCATATTAAAAAATATCTACGATCATCAGTGAGCCAGGAGCGTTTATCAAGTCTTGCGTTTCTGGCAACCGAAAATCAAACCGCAGATCAAATTATGACGATTCCATGCATTTTTTTGCAGAACAAAAGGCTTGGAGTAAAATTTTAATTTTTGTTACTAATTCCGTGATATTTTAATAGCATTAAGGCAGGTAAGAATTAAAATTATTTATGAAATAGGATGTATGAAAAAAAGACAGGAAGCACGAATACTCTCAGTAATAGCCCATATTCTGTATAATCTTTCCACAATATTTCCTTTCAGCAATAGGCAATTTTTCCAATAGTGGCTGAGCAATAAAAGCTGCTGAGCACTAGTAGTTCGGTCCGAGGGTCAAGTATATGCGAATGTGCTGGCTGTATGAGCATTTCCGTGATTTTACCCGTGTGTAACCTAGATACGAGCTAGTTTCCCTTGCAAATTTTCTCCACTGGGCATTCATCCTTTTCCATGCAGTGTAAATATCCTGTCCTCAGTTGCCGATGACCACTGAAATGGTACATCTGCGTGGTTTGTTTTCGAGTAAATAATCATTTTAAATAAAAACCACAAATGACCTCTCCTCAAATGTCCTCATATAATCTAACCTAACCAAGCAGTTGCTTAGAGATGCGAGTGATTAAGACCACTGAATACTGGTAGTTTGACTTAGGCTGGCTGCGTGGTTTGTTTTCGAGGATTTCCCCCATGTGTAACGTGAATATGAGCCAGTTTACTTAAAAAACCACAAATGCACCTCTCCTCTAAGCAGATAGCTCTCCTGTCTTTGTCATATTCATATAATCTAACCTAACCAAATTTAACCAGTATGCAATAATACGGAATAGGAGAAACTTAGGAGATGCCCGTTCCCCCTAGTGTTTTAGATGCTGTTAAGGAATTCTATGTGGCACAGACTTAGGAATAGAAATTTCTAAATATGGTAAGTCGATATTTCCTTCTTGTAGTGTATATATGTGATAAGGTGTATTTCCTTTTTGATGTTATTTCACTGTGTGATTTAAAATGCAGTTTACTGAGCTTCGATTAGCCACAAGCACAATTTTGGTGATGAGTAATTTCATTTTAACAATATATGATGTCATCATTCACTTGATTTTTTTTTTAAGTGAAAATAGATCGATGTACATATGGACAGAGTCAATTGTGCAATTCTCTGATGTTTTTAAAGTGAAAATAGATTGATGTGTACATGGACACCGAGTTTGTGCAATTCTTGTTATTTTGGCTTTGTGTAGCGGCCATCTTGAAATTGTGCCTTGCTAGCCACTCCCATAGGAGCACTCTTAAATATATTTTTACCGTATAATTCTTTTAAATTATATCTTATTGTTAGTGAGCTGCCAAATTTTTAAATTATTAAAAGTGTTTTGTGACAAAATAAAAACTGAGAAACACTGCTCTAAACAAATGGTTCCGTGTTGACACAGATGGTTCAGCAGAAAAAGCGATAAAAGTGCAAGTGCTGGAGCTTATTCAAGTAATTCCAGTATTAGCTGTCCTATTCAAAAGTACTGTGATACAACTTAGATAGGGAGATAGCAACCATAACCTACGCAATCGATATATTAAAAAACTGCTTAGGATAAAAATATTGCGTTCTTCATCGATTCCTAAAACTGCTATTTTGTTGTTTACAAGTTCTAGCTATAATGAAAATGGCCAGGTTCATTCTCGCAAAGTGAAACTATTTGAGATAAAGAAAAACAGAAACAGTATTGCCCTTCAGTGGATTCCGAGCCATTGTGATATTTTTTTAAAAGGAGGAAGCAGACAAACTTGCCAAGGTCAGATACCTTAATGCCTAACCCGATTCACTTTTGCATAATATTAAAAGAATTATAGATAATAAAATGAAAAATAACAGAATATCCTTATATGTTGATGTAGCAGTGAATAAGAAATGGAATATCCTGCTCAACAAAAGAAATGAAATCCCCAGTTCCTCACTTTGGGCTGTTGGAGCTTCTTGCTTTCATTTGACAACTAGCCATGATAATTTACTCGTACACTGGATTAGGGTTAAGGATTCAGGTTGTTGCCCTCAGTGTCATCAAGCTGATATGGATGGTGACCACCTTAAGAACTGTCGTATTAATTTAAAGTTTATTACAGACAAGTCTATAGAGGCTAATTTTTACCCTAGCTTCTTTATAAGCAGTACTAGTTTCTCCTCACTTATTTTGAAATACTTGTTTACAAAAATGAATAACAGAAATACCATTTTACTTTGATTTTTACATGCTACATGCATTTTCTTGATGATTATTCAGAGCATGTATTATAAACCCGATGTACATGGTTCTTAAATATAATCAATAAAATCATATACTCAAGTTATTATAAAGCTCTATTGTCAGAAATGTAAAAAAAAAAAAAAAAAAAAAAAAAAAAAACTTAAGTTTATATTCTTAGAAAAAGTAATTTCATGCAGGGAAAAAATATAAGCTAAGACACATTTAAAAATAACTCTTACACATTTTTTTAAGAATAAAATTGCACTACTTAAATAGCTAATAACACATTTTCATATACATTACATAGGGCTACTTCATTAAAATCTATACTGATGTATTTTTGTTACTTAAATATTGTAGCAAATGTACTATTCATCTAATGACATTTTAAAATAGTAGATGATACATATGATTATATTATTCTAAGGGTTTATATAACATGATAAAGAAAATAAAAATTTCACAACAGATGGAACTATTAAAAATCATGAATGGAAATTAGTTGAATAAACAGTTTTAACACAATTTGCTCACCGAATAAAATGTATTATATGGAAACAGCCGCTGGTCCATAAACAACTTTAAACGTCAAGAAATTTAAATTTCTGCCTGGAAAACTCAGTGAAAAATGTATAAGGAGCTTTATACGTTTCGTTCAAATTTCTATGAATTTTCAAATGCTCCTTTTTTTCCCCCCAAGAAATACTTCCAATATATTGCTTCATATATTATCACATATAAATGTATTACATTAATACATATTGCTATTGTTTGTTACCCATGCATTGAAAACAATTCTCATATTACCGCTGTAGGCCATATAACAATTTTCAAACACACATTTCACGCCATTTCCTACCAACTACTAACGGTCTTACGTTGCAGCGGTAAATAGAGTAATGCTTTTTATACAAATACTGTTACAGTAATCATTCACGTCACAGTAAAAAAATAGATACATTTTCTCATTAGACTTAAGCCTTTGCCTTTCATTACTACTCTTATTATTATTATTACTTTAAGATTAACCACAGGAAATATTTATTGAAAAGAAGTGAAAAGAAATTAAATGCTCACTCAGCGCCACCTATCAAACGTATTTGTATTGTAATATATCATTTCAAAATATTATGTTGGAAATTACTTTGATGTGTGTGAGCTGGAAGTATGCTGTATGTTAATTGCTTTTCGGTTATTATAATGCTTATTCAGTATTCTGATTTTAGTTGAAAATATTATATTACTTAAATAATTGTAAAATGATAATCCAAGAGCCCGTTCAGGTATGAGTTCTTAGTATTTCTTTCAAATCTTACATTACTGTGATACTTCATAAAAGTTTTAATATATTTCCAGTGATCAGTATAACATTATTTTAAATTCGTTTAAGCATATTCAGTAGGTACTCATTTTATTTATTTAAGATTAAAATGATTATGTATGTGTGTATATATTTAAAATTTTTTGCCTAAAAAAACTAGTGAACTATTTTTAAATGCGTTTAACTTTTAAGAAGCCAAAATTTTTGCATTGAAACTGCAAGCTGATGCAAGTGGTATTGTTGCAATTTTTTGCAAAAGCTAAGTTATGCAGTTTTGCAGTGAACTAAATTTTAACCTTATATTCCACATGTAAGTAAATTCTCTGTGAAAATTCCTTCCTGATACGTTTTCAAGGCATTGATGCATTACACATTGTTTATAGTAGTATTTCTACAATATCTGTGACCACAAACTATTGTGTACTTTTCAGTTGTTCCCATCCTTTCGAATATGAATTACATTCAAAACCTAACTTCTGTATGTCAGTGTTAAACATAATGTTTCTGTGTTAAATAGGAAAAAAGGTATTCTGTTACTAAAACCAGATTCAGAAATGTACATGTGTATGTATATATATATACACATATATAGACTTAAAGATTCTAAAGTAAATTGGAGTCAAACCAAGGTTATTCCTCAAAAAGATTAATATTAGCAATTGCATATAAGCGGTTTAACACGAAATCCAAACATATCAAAATTAAAACAAGAATTCATAGTATTATGAACTCAAAAAAAAAATAAAAATGAAAATGTGGTAAAAGTATAGTTTAGGGTACCCCTTGGTGGTTTTGGGCGGTACATGGATACCGATTTTGTGCAATTCTTTGACTCGTTATTTTGGCTTGTGAAGCGGCGATTTTTGCTCAAAAAAATCTCCGCTACACAAAGCCAAAATAACAAGACAAACAATTGCACAAACTCGGTATCCCTGTACACATTGACTTATTTTCACTTTAAAAAAAATCCCCAAATTGCACAAAAATGGCATTGCGCACTCCTTTGACTTTATCCATGTACACGTCGACCTATTTTCACTTAAAAAAAAATCCCCGAATTGCACAAAAATGGCATTGTGCACTCTTTTAACTTTATCCATGTACACGTCGACCTATTTTCACTTTAAAAAAAAATCCCAAAATTGAACAAACTTGCATTCCCTTTACTTTGTCCATGTCGATATATTTTCACTTATTCATTAGAAGGACTTTCACAGTCACATATTTTGCCGACCATCTCGTCTGGCTGCTTCCTTTTAAGTTTTTTACAATTTTAATTAAATTTTAAAAGTTTTTTTTTTCTTTTATGTATTTTGTACATTGTTTCATAATATGTTTTATGTATTTTGTTTATGCGTCAACGAGACGCATGCGCAGAAAGTTTGTAGCTTTGAGGTCCGGATTATGGGTTTCCGAATTAACGACTTTTGACTGTTATCGTTTATTTTTTTTTCCTATGACCAGCCATCTGCATGGGTCCAACAAATCAAAAATTTTTAGTATTTCGTCTTTCTGCTGCCCGCCCCCATCTAAATGAAGAGATCTTTATATCATGGTTTCATGTCCTCCAGCTATTTGTTTGATGTCGATGAAGAAGGTTATTCTTTCAAATGCTGACTTGTAGATTGTTTGGAGATGATATATGCAGTCATGTTTGGTCATGCAAATTGCAAGAAATATTAATACCCTCTAGAATCTCAGCATAATCGCAATTGCGGCAGGTCTGAGTTAAAAGTATAGTTTAGAGTACCCCTTGGCGATTTCGGGCGGTACATGGATACCGATTTTGTGCAATTATTTGAATCGTTATTTTGGCTTGCGAAGCGGCAATTTTTGACAATTTTTGAGTCAAAAATCGCCGCTACACAAAGCCAAAATAACAAGACAAACAATTGCACATACTTGGTATCCATGCACACAACCACCCTTTAAAAAAAAATCCCCAAATTGCACAAAAATGGCATTGCGCGCTCCTTTGACTTTATCCATGTACACGTCGACCTATTTTCACTTAAAAAAAATCCCCGAAATGCACAAAAATGGCATTGCGCAGTCTTTTAACTTTATCCATGTACACGTCGACCTATTTTCACTTTAAAAAAAAATCCCAGAATTGAACAAACTTGCATTGCGCACTCCCTTTACTTTGTCCACGTACACATCGATATATTTTCACTTACAAAGTCAAAGGGGGAAACGACGCGGCGCGTAATGAATTGAAAGTTGATCTGTCAGCACTATCGTTATCTTCAGGCCAGATGTTTTTATTTTATTTGGCTTATAATTCCTTACTAAATGTAGTATTTCATCTCGATGTACTCCGTCTTTGATATGATTTAAATCAAGTTCCTCCTCATTATAATTCGCTTCCGATAGTGAAGAAAGTGACAGAGGTTATTGAAAACGAAAAGATATCGATTGACAAATTAATCGGTATTCTCGACACAGCAATTATAGGACTTGAACAGCGGAACTTTGTAACTAAACAAGAAATTTTGTCTGGTTAATAGAATTAAAGAGAAAGTATTATCACATGAAACGAAGCAACTTAAACAACTTACATTGAAAGAAATGTTTAATAAAGTAAACAAATAAATATTAAGCTTTATCTTTTTGTAAATTTTGATACCCTTAAATCATAATTGTTGTTTATTTCATAAATTACGGTTTCATATTTTTAATTTTATAATTTCTGCATGCCATCTTACCATATTTGAACTGATGATCTATAATCCGGAATTGCCGAGAACCCGACGAGTCCGCATTAACGACTTTTGACTGTAGTTAGTCGTTTTAAGTCGAACACAAGCATCTGAATTTTCAGTAGTTAATCTGCTCCTGTTTTTACTTAAAATAAATTTGATTTGTGAAAATATTTGCTCACATTTATAAGTGGACCCGAATGTGGACAAAATGGCAAAGGCAGTTTGTTTTAACAATGAAAACCTCGTAGGAAGTGATGCCCAACATGTTAATATCATGAGAAAATGATTATCTTCTGTCTTTTCTAAATCATTCCACAATTTCTTAAATTTATCTGTCCATAATGTTGAACTTTTAAAAACAATCATTTCTAAACTAAAATTGTCAATTCTTAGATATTCAAAATACTGCAAATTTATAATATTTTCTTCTATTTCATCAGGCTTTATTATAAATGTAAATATTTCTCCATGTTTCTTAAGACTTTGAAACCGACTTTCATATTCACTTTTAATGACCGAAATCCAAGTTTCGAACATATTTAGATTGCCTTCATCGATATTTTCTTTATCATGTTCCCTTTTTAACAAGGAAAAGAAATGAAATTTTTTATTTTTATGTCAGTTTCAAATAATATCAATTTTGAAGTAAAACTCTTTCATTTCTCATACATTTTCAAAATTGTGTGGTTATTTCCCTGGAGTTGTACGCTGAAATCATTATAATAGTTCATTATGTGTGTTAAGAACAAAAGTCTTAAAAACCATTGTTTATCATTGAGTTCGAGATCATTTTCACCGATTTTGTGAAGAAATATTTGTATATCATCAAAACACTCTACAAATCTATTAAGAACTTTGCCCCGACTTAACCCCTTAACTGCCGCGGGCGTATATATACGCCTTGCTCAGCCGATGTGTTAACTGCCCCAGGCGTATATATACGTCCTTCCAAACTGCTATCATTTGCTTTGCGCTGCTACACCTAAAATTATTCGCAAAGTTAACGCATCGGCTGCGCATCTGGGGGGCAGTTAACGCATCGGCTGAGCAAGGCGTATATATACGCCCGCGGCAGTTAAGGGGTTAACCATCGTATTTCAGAATGTAACAGGGTTCGTAGCGGTCCTTATAAGTGCTTATAAGTCCTTATATTTGAAAATAAAATATAAAGGCCCTTATATGTGCTTACTTTTTCTATAAAGCCCTTATTTTTTTTTTTAGTGCTTATTTTTTGCTTTTAGTGCTTTTTTTTTTTTTTTTTTTTTTTATGAGCGCGCTATTTTTCCCAGTACCAAAAGCTGAAACTAAATAAACAACTTTTCTTCCTAATATGGAATGTCAGATGGTGAATCATACTCCTGGAAATAGCTTTTTCCCCTTTCTCTGTATTAAGATAACCTTTGGTGTGCACGAAGAGTATAGACGGGTGCCTGTCATTCTATTGGTCAAAGATTTGCGAAAGCAGTAGAAAATTCCGGTACATTCGGCATTCTTTTCCTCCCACCCAAATACTACTCACGTTTGAATTTTATCAAGATCTTAATATGCATTTTCGTTCCGCTTGGTCAGTTCATATTTGTGTTTATTATGATCATTATGCTTATATTATGAGCATATGTATGAATGTTTATAATAACATAGTTGCAGTAACTGCTGAAGTATAGTAAACTTCCAAAAATGGTTGTGTTTTAACACAGATTAGCTTTCTAAGAAAAAATATTCGAAATGGCTTAAATAAAGGGAAAGTAATTGAATAGTCAAAATAATTTCATTTTTTTGGCCGATACATTATACAGTACGAAGATTGGGAGGTTCTCCCCTTTCTCCGCAAAATCTCGAATATTGAAACTGTTACAGTTCGCTGCAAAACAAGCAACGGACCTTTTTAAAAAAAAATTTTTTTAAATCACTTTCTAATCTGGATTGAATAGGACTAAAAGTTCTGCGGTCTACCAACCCAAGCGAAGAATGATTCTGTTCCGGAAATTTAACGCCGTCTGTTGAAAATTAGAATGAAAAACACCCCAGTTATTTAGTTCTTTATTTTCGCAATACCGGCAGCTGTTGATTCCGATTGCATAATATCATGTAGGGAAGAATTATGGCACACATATTGTGCAATATCGTTTGCGATATCTTGCAGAGATGATTAATTTTGATGTTCTGTCCGAGATTTGTTTATGAGAGTTTTACAGTGCTTGCTAAGCAGAATATTTTTCAGTTCCATTGGTTTATTTTTATATGATTCACATATCGA